ATGTTAGCGTTACCAATAAAATGACGAATATTTCTTAGATATATGTAAATATTGTTTGAAATTATCTCTATGAAATGGACATTAAATGTGATTCACGTTATAGTGACTTTGTGTTAAATGTTTCTTGCAAAAATAAATCGTAGATATAGCTCGATATATTTATATAAATCTATTATAAATGAAAATTTAAATAAGAAATTAAACATTTATTTTCGTATTTGTTTATTTATAAATTGTGCGAAAATAATCTCTGCACAGCTAGCGAAACATAATTCAAACAAATAAAACAAAACAAAAATACTTTAAAATTAGTGATACATAAGATAGAACGTGTACATACATATATTTGCGAATGATTAGAAGTAAGAATATACATATATTTCAATATACATTATATTAATAATAAAGGCTGTAATTTCGGTTATAAGCGTGGATTTTTAAGGCATTATGGTGTTATAAGTTTTTTAAAATAATTGTTTGTTGTAACTCACATTTATTCAAGACGCACTATTGAGTGTGTTTTTCAAATACCTGCAAACTAAACTAATTTTTTTAGAATAATACTTTTAACCTTCATATTAATTGAAATAAAAACTATTATCATTTTTTGTAAATTTTGGATTCATTTGGTATATTTTCGAGATTTTTTTATGTTTCTCATGATTATATGTTTTCTACAATATATATTTATCTAATTTTACCATTACGTTGTTGTCCCACGGTGGAAATACTCGCATTAAGATCTGAAAGTGAAAAGAACATTTGAAAATTTAATTATTAAACACACTTTATTTATTTGTATATATTATAGGTATGAGGTATGTTAAAGGGAGGGGGGTAACAATTGTTTTCATGAACTCTATAAGGAGAATTAGGAAGATGAAACACCATGTTTAACAAACATTTTATGTAAATGGTGCACCAAAGCCCCTATATGTCTTTCGATTTGCACGAAATTTGGCATAGGATACTGAATTTGGTGTAGAATGATGTGTGCTAAGTTTCGTGAAAATCGGTTCAGATTCAGATATAGCTCCCACATATAGTTTCGTCCGACTTTAGGTAAATGGTGCACCAAAGTCCCTATATATCTTTCGATTTGCACGAAATTTGAATTAAGTGCAGAATGATGTGTATTAAGTTTCGTTAAAATCGGTTCAAATTTAGATATAACTCTCATATATATATTTTCGTTCGATTTTATAGAAATAATGCCCAAAAGACCGTGGATATCATTCGATTTGCACGAAATTTGGCACAGGGTACTGAATTGAGTCCAGAAAGATGTGTGTGCTAAGTTTCGTGTACATCGGTTCAGATTTAGATATAGTCCCATTTGTATTTTCCAAGGGATTTAGGTAAATTTTGCACCGGTTGACATACGTTTCGTGTCAACCGTGTCAACCGGTGCAAATTGAGACTAGAATGACGTTATAGCTTTCTTTAACTGGTGCAGATGCAGACACAAAAGGGTATCTGATTGAGATTAAATGTTTCCCATTATAAGCAATCGACTCTAAACTTGCCGAATGTATGCCAGAAAGGCATACAGATCACATATTCAAGTTTGTTCAATGACATGTTAATGTTCTTTAGAAAAGGCGGAGTTTGTTAGGAGACATATGTAGAATATACCCAAAGAGGTGAAGGGTATCATATAGTCCGACTTTACTACTTTCCTTACTGTTTTATATTAAATTAGTTATCTGATTTGTTCCGCGTTTTGGGTATGGTTCTAAGACTCTGTTGAAATCATTTCACTTGCGGATAATATCGAGATAAAAAATTAGAACGTAAGGTTCGATAATGAACTTTATATGAACTATAGCCCGCATTTAGGCCTAGCCTCAGTCCCTGTGTGGGAGGTACCAGAAGGAGTGGACTGATATTTCCCATCTTCGAACTTGAACTAACTTTGGAAGAAATAATAAGATGAGCAAAGTTTGGATGAAATCCAAATTTTCTGAAACGGATTTGGTGCAAAGAAACATTGGGGTCTAGAACCAATATTTCGAAATAATATGAACACGATCTTACCATCACACGCAAAAAAAAATGCAAATGGGGAGAACGATTACTCTTGTTCGTTCTTTTAATGAACTAAAACGAAGATCTTTGTAAGACCTAGTTCAGTCGCTCTTTTCAGGGAATCATTCTTTTAGCTCGTTCGTGCTGTACAACTTTACTATAGACAAATAAACGGTTGGAAATTGGTGAAAATCGGTTTAGATTTAGATATAGCTCCCATATATATTACTTCACTTGCGGAGGATATATATATATATATATTTTTTTTTTTGAAATCGGTTCAGATTTAATTTCGGATCCCATATAATTTATTTAAATGGTGCATCAAACTCCCAATGTTTGTCCGATTGAGACAACATTTTAAATAGGGTATTGAATTGAGTATTTGTTGAAATCGGTTTAGATTTAGATATAGCTCCCATATATTTTTCTTCCGATTTTATGCAAATGGTGCACCAAGCCCCTTGGTATAGAAAATATATCCCAACGTAATAGACGTGGAATCTGATAAAAGTATATATGGAGCTTTGGCTTAATCGGAACTGATTTTCATTTGGTCCTTGGGCCATTTTCATCACATTCGGATCATTTTGCACTTTGTGACAGACGAATGGACAGGTTCACTCAAAAAATAAATCTAAAATCGAGGTGATAAATATTCCGGTATGAATTACCCTCGCAGTCATTCGTGGGTCTTTGAAAACAACAGAACCTACCCTTGAGCAACCGGACGAAACTTATAGTTATACATAATGGTGCAGATTATAAAAACAATTATTCTATCCGATACAATTCTAGAAAATACACGCTTTATTTTTCCACACCGAGTATGTTATTTTTGTGCGAATGCTGGTGATATCCTACCTTTGGTTTCATTACGTTTATATCGCCGATGATGGACACAATTGCAGCCACCACTTTGGACAACGACTGGTTCGGGTTCAATGACAATTTTTGGGTTCTCCTCCCGTATTTCTTCAATATTATTTTCTTCCTTCTTTGTGTCATCTTTACTGATGACCGTTACGGCCAATGACTCATCTCGATCCTCTGATAATAATTTATGCTTATTGGGTAATATAACGTTATTATCACTTAATAGGCGACGTATTGGCAACAACTTCCTTCTTCGTTCCTTGGTGGATGGGGTGGTGGAGGCCTCACTCAATGGACTGGCGGCGGCATCAAAAACGGGTGGTGTCAGCGACAATTTTGACGGAGTTTCATTACGATTAAGGCTATCACTGGAGGAGATGTATTTTTGTGGCTTACGTCGCAGACGGGTACGGGAATTTTGACTACTGGAACTATCCTGATGCACTATTAAAGTACCAGCTTCATCAGTGCGTAGAGAATAACGTGGACCAGCAGCGGTGTCTTCCTCATCGCCATCTTCCGATTCGGGCGACGAAAAACGACCCTTTTGATAACTTAAACGTTCCAAAATGGAACTACTTGTTCGACTGGGCAGTCTACCGGAACTGTGAGAACGACGATATTTACGTTTCTCACGAGGACCCGACGATGATGAGGTGGTGGGTGTTGTCGTTGAGGGGGGAGTGGGTAGAAAATCGGGTATTTTAGAATCATGATCAACATTGAATCGAACACCCTTGAGGGACGAGGAACGTGGCGATGAATCGGGTAAATCACCGATGTGTAAATCGATGGGTCTGCGACTGTGACTGCGGCTACGGTTACGTATTGTGCTCGTTGGCGTCGGCGTGGAGGTATTTGTTGTGAAGGCGGAATTTTTCCTTGGGGTCGGCGGTACCTCTTCTATGTGCAGGCCATCGAATTCTTTTTCCAAAGCTTTACGTACGGAATGCGTTAAGTTGGTGGTGGCAGATCTATGCGAAGAGTATGTACGTTTTTTGGGTTTCGCTGGAGTCGGTTCATAGTCTTCTTGTTTGTAAATTTGTTCGCTTTTGGCATCGCCACCAGCATCCGGGGGTGCATCCACCAGCAGATTACCCTTGTGATCGTAAAGTAAGATGCGCGGTAAGGCAATGTTAGAACATGATTTTGAGGTGGTTAATTCCCATTTCCAATGATTGGGTTTACGTAGTTGTAGGCTGAGGATATTCGCCAGAGGATCATAGTCGTTGTGGTTGTTGGTGTTTTGGCTAGACTTCTCAACATATTCTAGTTCGTCGGACGAATCATTGTTATCGATATGATAACTAAAATAATTATTGTTTGCTTTTAATGCACCAGGTGTACCAGCTCTTGTTGATCTTGACGTTTTCTTAATTGGTGTGGCTGTAAAGGAGGTTGAGGCGGATGATGATGCGGCATCAGCTGTTGCTAGGTGTTGTTGTGGATTCCAACGTTGATGTCGCCGTCGCTGTTTGTTCATAAACAAATCTGACATTGTAAAATTGCATTCAGGAAACACTTGTGAGATTTTCGTTAACACCCACAAAGACGTGTGACCATACGCCTCGTAATCCTCTCCGTTTCGCTCTCTTGGTCACCCACAATGAAAGACCACTGCCCCTCAAAGACTTTGGGGCAATATTTTTGTTGTATTTCTTTTTTTGAAAAATTAATGATTCAGTGTAAAATATTTTTGCTCGTTTTTGTTTTGAGTTATTTTTCGCGTTTGTGTGTTGTTTTTTTTTGCTAATTTTTTGACATTCACATTAAATTGTTTTGTTGTTTTTGTTGGGCAAATCTTTTTGCAATCCATCCATCCACCTGTTGTCAGAAAAACGGATTCAGCTACTCTGTCATCAGCATGAACTCATTTTACGGATACTTGTAGATCGCGTTATTAGTGCATCTATGAGGTGGCTTGGGTACATGTATGTGTGTATGTCACCATAGAAATTGGGAAAAAGGGGACAACGGACGCTTCTCGTCGTCGTTGCTTGGCCAAATGTTGAAGATCAACATTTAGCCGCTGGCTCGAAGCCAACTGCCACAACAACAAAATAAACAAAATATTTAAATTTGATTGTTGTTGTTTGATTTTCTTCTTGCTTTATAAGACGAACACACACAACAAATATTTGTTCTTCTATTTATTTCAGATCTCAATGAGCCGATGGCAGTTTATTTTTATTATAGTTTTTATTTTTTCAACTCCCCTCCTGCACTGCACGGTATAGGTATTTTTAGAATTATTTTCTATTTTTTCTGATATTTTGATTTGGTGTTCCCACAACAACAACTCCAAAATTACATATATGAATATGTGACGCCACGGAATGGGCTATTGTAAGTCAACAACAGGCGAAATGGGCCTGACGGTGGGTGGTGGTGTTCGATCGTTCGGTCACAAGCAGCAGACATGCATGCATTGATGTTCCGATACTCTTGATTTCAAGTGGTTGGTTGACAGGTTTTTCCTTTCATTTAGTTTTCAATGAAACTCTTCAAAAGTAATTGTTTTTGTAGTTTCAAGATTTTTTTTGCAATTTTTACAATAACAAATATATTTATTATTCAATGAAATTTTTTTATGTTTTTTTTTTCACTTGATTTCAGCACTCATATATTATATACACATCCATAATATTTTTTTTATATTTCAAATCATTTCACTTCGATGTGGATTATTGTGCGTACACATGTGACGTTCAGTGTTGGCCAGATGATGCGTGTAAACAAAAACAAATTGCGTTCTCTTCAATTTCTGTTTTCAAAAAATTATAATTTTTCTTTTTTAATATTTTTCTATATTATTTTTTATTTTTTCTTAAATTAAAAAAAAAAAGAATTCTCTCTGCCACACACAAAATTACCGTCCGAATGCCTTAGAACATTTTGCCCAACTGTTTTCGGCAACTGAGCAGCATTCGTGATCAGATATCCCAATACTGCGTAATCACCACACGCTCACTCTCACCATATGCTCATCGTAAATGTGTTGAGAGAACTCAAAAAACATATGACTATTTTCTTTTTTGTAGATTTTCATTAGCTGTGTTTTTCACCATTCGCATATTTTTTCGCATATATCTTCTCACATAGTATTTAGAATCAAAATAACAACAAAATGGCATATGTTGCTCCCACAATATTATTTTTTCGCATAGATTATATATACTTTAGTGGTCAGGGTTAGGATGTCATGATAGAGGGTTCATAATTTTTGGAAAGAAATAAGAGACAAGTTTTGCCGACATACATTTAGCCTCAGCCTAGATAGAGGAGGTCCCAGAGATGATGGATCCATACATCCGATTGTACTACATACCAAATTTTTACCGAATGGAATACTTGATTCGATGGTTTTCTTCTTAAGTCTTGGTTTGGTAAAAATATGACGACGTGTAATGTTTGAATTAAACCGGACATTCAAGTAGGGTTTGGATTGGATTTTCAACATTTTGACATTTTGTGGAGGCTATATTTTATTATAATTTATTTTCAATATATATCTGTTACCCTCAAGAATCCGGAATGCCAAATTACAGACGCTACGGGTGGAAAATTCTGATGAAAACTTAAAAAAGTTGTGATACCTGGTGATAGATACAGATAGCGTGTTGTTGATCTGGATGCAGCATTTTGAAAAGCTTCCGGTATCAAATAGTGGCGGCGAAGAAGATAACCCAGAACCAATAAGATATGACGGTATAGAGTGTATACCACTAGGTATACAAGGTCGGCAGTTAATGTCGGAAAGGACCTATCGGAACCTTTCAATACCGAGCGAGGATTCCGACAAGGTGACAGTATGTCGTGTGATATTTTTAAAATTCTACTGGAAAAGGTCAAAGGTGAACAGAAATGGCACTCTGTTCACACATGTTACTCGCCTACGCCGATGACATCGATATAATGGGTCGAACAGTGCGAGCGGTAATAGCCACCTTTGATCAAATGGAGAAGGAGTCTGCCAAAGTGGGTCTGGCAGTACATGGTGAGAAGACCAAGAAGTATCAACGCTCAAGACGTCCAGTAGACTCGGACCAACTGTGGAACTTGAGAACTACAGCTTCAAGGTAGTTAAAGATTTTATTTTACCGCCATGAATAAAACGAATGACATCAGTTTTCAAATTCGGAGAAGGATAGTGTTGGCCAACAGTAAGCAGTTTAGAAACAAGGCCACCTGCCGGCAGACCAAACTCACACTTTACAAAACGCTGATACTACGCGTACTGTTATATGGATCTGAAGCATGGGTACTTGTGCAAGCAGATGAGACAGCTCTCGGGATGTTTGATAGAACAATTTTCTGAAAAATCTACGGGCCGATCTGCGTCGACGGTGAATGTCGGCGTCGAATGAACCACGAACTTTACAATATATACGCGGACATCGACAAAGTCAGTCGTATCGAGCTGCAGCAACTACGGTGGCTAGGCCATGTTGTGCGAATGAATAAGAATGTCCCATCTCAAAGCGAGCCTGCTGACTGTTCACGCAGTAGGAGAAGGCCACGACTTAGATGGAAAGATCAAGTGGAAGACAGCATCTCGGAATATGATCATTCAAAGTGGAGGAAATTCACACAATACCGACGCGCTTGGAAATCTTTTTTAAGCTCGGCTTATGAAACAACCGTTCGGTAAAAGTAAGCTAAGTAAGTAATTAATATAAAGGTTTCCCATCTATATAGGTTATTATTAGCGTCTATCTATATAGATAATAATTTTTGACGCCCTTATCTTATTGGAAAACTGCGAGCTGTGAAAATGCGCTCAAAACTTATAAAATATGGGTCATTACCAATATACGAGCTACACACCATTGTGGACCGATATGCAAAGATCCTAAAAGATTTATGAAACTATAAGGACATATGAGTAATATTGCGATCTCTCTCGTGACATACATAGTCATGTCACATGACGTAGAATATTTCATAGGTTGCCAACGGAATCGGGGCGGATATGTTGGCAAGGAACTAATATTTCACGTGGCCTGAAAGGAAGAAACTAAAAGTATACTTTATCATCATCAATGTTATCCAACTCCTACCATAGTAAACCATTTATAAATTATCGATATCGGAATCCATTCACTGTATACCATAACTTATTATCGAATCAGTAAGCGGAGCAGTATAGTCAGACGGAGCCGACCATACGATACCCTACACAACTACCACGTGGCTTTAACTTTCTGCGGATTTTTATTCCGAGCCTGGGCAATATTTCGTGATAGTTACACCCTCTTGCCCGATTAGAGGTCTACAGACTTGTCCATATACCATTCCCCGTGGGTTGTGTTTTGATGTTCGGCTTATAATTTTGGCCTATAGATCGACTCAAAAACATAACAAATTAAGTTTTCGGTCCACTTCATCCCAAAATTATTATCTGATCATCACAGAAAATATAGGTGTTGTCCTTGACCATAACTGGAACCTCATGGAAAGCGATCAGCCAGAGGGTGGACCCTCTGGTGTGGTAATGGGTTAATAAATAATATCTGAATACGTAGACACCTGCAAATATTTAAGTGTAACTCCCACATCCGAGAACATACGACAATGTATTGGTATCAATTTAAAGGTCAACCGCTCCTCTTGGGTCTATGTCCTACAGGGGTAAATGGAAAGCGATCAGCCAGAGGGTGGACCCTCTGGTGTGGTAATGGGTTAATAAATAATATCTGAATACGTAGACACCTGCAAATATTTAAGTGTAACTCCCACATCCGAGAACATACGACAATGTAATTGGTATCAATTTAAAGGTCAACCGCTCCTCTTGGGTCTATGTCCTACAGGGGTAAATATATACGCTATAGAACACAAATTTTGTCGTTTTTCACACAAAAGTCAGTGTCCATTTGACGCGCTAAATATTGACCGATCTTTAGCAAAACAGGCATGCTTATTCCTAGGCCTGATCCCCTACTCCGTTAAAAATTTGCGATGTTTGGGCCAAAATGCGGCCTCTGGAGCGACCCGAATATCAGACAAAATTTAAGTTTTTGGTCCATTTCATCCTCTAAATGTTAACCGACCTTTACCAGAAACAATAGGGGTCTTCATTGGCCAGAACCCATCCTACATGCAAAATTGTGTTTACAAATTATAATGGACGGACGAACGGACACACATGTGTTGATTGACTCAGCTAGTCCAGATATGACGATCGGGTCTAGGACCAATATGGGTCTAGGACCAATATTTCGCTGCGTTACAAATTCTTGGGGCTGCACAAAGTGTAGAGTATACAAATAAGCCCAAAAAACATATCCTTACACATTAAGGTTTTCCGAGCCTCCTAGTTGCAAATGCATCTCATCTGCTCAGTTGATTTTTCGATGGTATTCCGCATCATTATCATGAATTTCATGGACCCTATAAACAAATGCACTACGTAGTTGATGATGTATTTTTCCACCAATGCACTATGGGTGAAAATTCGATTTTAACGGCTTAAAATAATTCTATATTTTTGAACCG